AGGGCTGATCCGTCAATCAGCAACCCGTAGCGGCTTTTTGATAAAAGCAAGCCCCTGATCTTCCAGGCTTGCGAATGGTGATCAATGTTCGCGTGACATGTTCTGATTGCCGTCATTCGTTCCGTGCACCCGTCTCCATACCGAGCACATTGTTTGACACGCCCTGACCATTGAATAGGGAAACAGCCAATACTCAAGATTGGATCAGGAGCGCTCAGCATTCCCTATAGCCAGGCGCTTAGGGTGACTGGATGGTAGCCCAGGGCCGCCTGTGTGTGGATAACGTGGCGAGGGGGAGAGAACGGCGACCGAGCACCAGCCGACGTCAGCGCCCCCTAAGAGAGCAGCGTATACTGTAGCATCAAGTACCAGAGGAACAATACAGCAGGCGGAAATAGAGACAAGCCCTCATGGGTCTCGAAGCCGGGGGGGACCTCATATCGGCAGCCCTAGCGTTTGATCCGATTGGACCGGTGCTCCAGACATGGACGTCATTGCACCCATACAGCCCAAGAAACAGGGGTATAGAGCCCAGTGGCTTAGAACCAGTCTGGGGGATCCAGGTTATCGGTGCTTTTTTGAGCCCTGGCCGCCTCTGAACGTAATCACCCAGCGTTACTGGTGCTTTGTTAGGCGCCCTTTTTCGTTTTTGATATCCGTAGGGATCCAGACCGGTCCGTTGACTGGCCTATTAGCGCCTGGAATACGGGTAAATCTTCATCTGCCAAGCACATCACACTTGATTTATATGGTGAGCTGAATTCACATGACGGTACCTCAAAAAGTCGGTGAAACTGTTGGCTGTACTTTTGGTTGGTCTGGATAGGCAACGGCGGTGCCGAACGCCATACTTTCTGCCCTTTTCCTCATTCCTGCTCTACCGTGCAGACCCAAAAGAGGTCGCAGCGCATGTTTCTCGGGAAGCATGCATGCTTATCTGCGTCAGCTGACTCGTTTGATCTGTGTTGGTTAAGCGCGAAATTGTCACAGGTAGCACCAATACCGAGGAGAGGAAGCATTTGTTTCTCTAGCAGGGCTTGGATGGGCAATAGTAGATGAGATAGAGCCTAGGCACCGTTGACCTTTGCGCATTGCCCGTGTCCCGGAATGGCGAAGGAAAAGTCCCCTGGCTGACCGCATAGACTGCCCGTGCGTAAAGGTTACGGCTGTGGCCATGCCAAGCATTCACATGGCTGGCTGATCAACAGCGTTTTGTGGAAGATCAAACCTCTAGATGGTGGTTCCCGTTTCCTCAGAGGTCCTTGGCCCGTCAGTCACTCTTTGACTGAGCCCCACCTGGGTATTGTAGGTATTGTCTGGAAAAGGGCAGGCCGGGGGTTGTCTGGTGACAGAGTCCATCCTCTACCTACGGAGTACAGCAGGGCGCAGATCTGAGACTGTACAAGAGGATGAACCGGATGTTGGTCTTGCTTGTTGGAGGAAGAGCACATCATGTTTTGCCACGTCACCAATAGGGACCACTAATCGGGAAGTGCAGTTGCATGAAAACAGCCTCCTTTTGGCCATTGTATTTTCAAAGGGCAAAAACGGGGGAAATCAACAAGGCATTGGCTGGTTAAGTGACTTATTTCTGCCAAAGAATGAGGCGGCAGTTTCGAGAGGCTATCGGGATTTTGACAGCAGAGGTGTGGAGGGGCACAGTGACTCACCCGACCTGTTACGATGCCGGAGGCCAGAGCATTGGCTGCAGTGGCTGCATATGAGGGAAGGTGCTTTCGTGCTGGGAGCGGCACGGGTAACTGCCACAATTAGGACCTCGTGCGTTCTGTAAATAGTACGAACGAGCATTCCCGCCCACAGGCATCAGCAAAGTTAACATGGGCGCGCTCGGCAGGTACTGTGTACTTGACCTAGCGGGGGCCATTCCTCCTTCCGCCAAGTGTCCGGTTAAAGCACACTGTTTCCCAAATTCAGCTTCCTGTGTCTTCCAATTGCAAGCCTCATCGCCCCCTTGCTCGCGATGAGCTGTGCGACATGACCGTAAATAAGTCAAATACATGCTAGACTTATTCTATTGCACTCCCAGTGAAACAGTTTGGTTCAATGGGACAGAGGAAGGAGCACTACGTAAGCACCGCGGGGCAGGTACATGGGGTGCGAGCAGCTTCCGAGGCATGTACATGAGTCCTCGTACTGAGGCAGGGCAACTCAAATCCCGACCTGCTTGAAACTCCAAAACCTTGGAGGTACTTGGCATACGCAAGATATCTACCTAGATTTCCGAGAGAAAATTCCATGCCCTAGCCGCCTGTTCGAGGACAGATCCGATGTGTTCCATGGGTCCTGAGGAAACTCTCAGCTTGGAGAGGTACCTGGCACTGCCCAACTGGGAAGTTGGACCCTGTCAAAGAGATGGCGCCTTCGCTGGGCACATGGCAATGTACCTACCGTGGGTAGCTTTTTCCTCCGGTCTTCCGTTCTTTCAGATCAATCATACCGCCTGCCTGTCGCCTACCCACTATTTGCTGCGCAGTTGACCTTTTGAACACCCTGCCCTCAATCATGTCGCATACAGTAAGCTGACATTTCCAAGTCATGTTATAGCTGTTTCAATGGAAAGGTCGACTCGAAGCGCAGTCCCTCTCTCTGGTGAGAGAAAGTCAAATTTCCACTGCTTCCTACCCTAACCGAAACTCAATAATGGCGAATTGGGCTGAAAACAGGTGGTGATGCTTACAAGGTACAACTAGCTGCGGCTTAGGTTAGGGCCATGTGGTACAGCTTGTTGGCTCGTCCCGTCCACTCTTGCCTAAGCCTTCTTCCCCACTCTCCTAAATCTAGAGTACGTAGTCGTCCTCCGATACTAGCAAGAGGGGAAGGGGGACAGTTTGGAGACGAAAAAAAAAAAGAGAGAGGGGCGGAAAAAAGTATCGTACTACGACTGTGCGCCAACTATTATCTGATACTATGCCGGAAAGAAAGAGCTGAACATGATAAGGTTGGAAGCTTTTCAGCAGCTGTCTCATCCGCAGGTACCAGCTCCAATACCGCTTCTTGATTCACGGAAGGGAAATGGTCTTTTCTTCATAATCAACATAGCCCCTCGCCTCATTTACGCGCACTGGTGGATAATTTGGTGATCTGATGGCCCTGGTACGTATTGCACGTAACCGCAAACGCTCAGCAGGTACAACAAGCCCAAGATAGAGGGCCTGACACACCAGAGGCAGGTAAGATGAATGGCGCCTGGGGCTGCATTTCACAGCAGCAGAGAGTTTCGGAAGAAGGGGCCACGTCTGGGTGGACTTGTGCTGCTGGCTGGGCTGGCCGGTGTTTGGCCCACCTGGACGGACAGCCAGCGACCGCCCAGCCAGCGCGAGACAGTGGATGGCCGCTGAAGTGTGCTGCTGTTGACGACACCCTCCCTGGAGTGGTGTCCATAGCAAAGGTACCTGGACCTTGTCGGCAGCTACACCACACGCCCAGCCCCACTGCCAGTCTTCTCCGACTCCATGTCAAAACTCAAACACTGCATGCCACACACCCCCCCACGCCAGCCCTCTAATTGTCCGTTTCACGTATTTCCTGCCTTGCTCGAGTGCCTGGCGCAGCACAGCATTGGCATCTGGGCATCACAGGCACAGGGACCTGACAAGAAGGGCCATGCAAGGTGAACGTGCTGCCACTACCCACACACTACACGGCACGGCACCGCCAAGGCACTGGGGATAATTAAAGGTCTACTCTTTCCGTCATAACTTTTCTTTCCATACCATACCCCAGGCCAGCAATTAGACCCTCTTTCCCTCTTTGACTCACCCTCACGACTTCTTTCTCAGCCTCTACTAAAGTTGGCCGCCACCCACACTACCACCACCCACTACCAGCACTACTCCCGTTTCCAAATTGACTTCCTCTCCACACTCGCAGCAATTGGCCTGACCGGACATTCTTCTTCTTCTTCTTCTTCCCCTTCCTCCACTGCTTCCTTAAGCTCTTGCAACTACGCGCCTTATCGACTCTTCTCTCCGTCTCTTGGGCGGAAGCACCAGCCAGGTTCACAGGCGCATTGCCCACAACAAGTACTTCGACAACCGAACCCATTGCCCTCTTGGCTCAAGGCCGCCCTGAACCGTATAATTCGGTCGTGCTCGACTCTGCTTTGCGAAGCTTCACACCTTCCATCTTCAACATACGCGAGAAGCCACTCCCTGCAGCAACCTTGATAGCCTCCAAATTCGGCCTAGTACACGACCTTGTACTCTGGACAAAGAGGAGAAAGGAAGATCGAGGACTTGGGAACAATCGCGGCGTGTTTCTATACACTTGCGATCAGCTCGCGAACCATTCCCAAGGGCCTTGACGGAATACACTGTTGAACCTTGCAGTCTGTCGCCGTCAGCGCATTGCAACCACCACTTGTGCTTGGGAGCGCATACCGAAAACAGCGACGTGCATAGCTCCTCTACAATCTACTCCCGTCTTAGTAGCTGCTGCGACCTCGTGCATCCATCGACGCGGACCACCAACGTTCCCCACGGCCACTCCAGTTGTCGTGCAGAAACTAGCCGTTTTCGCCTACCAGTTTGATTCGCTGGTGCAGATACTCCTCGCGAAGTAGCCAGGCAGCATTGCCTGTCTTACCCTGACCCAATCGTGCTCCCTGCGATCCCCAGGTCGAATCCCTACCCCAAGTGCAGTCACCTGCGTTGGATGCTACTTGCTTATCCCCACTCCCAAACCTTTGGACCGGCCCGTTCCATCATGTATGGTGCCCCTGGTCGGGTCTTATAAATGACGACCCTGCCTCCAAAGGCTTACCAGAGAGCTCCAGCTGAAGAATGTCAGACATTCCAGACACAGAACAAGTTCAAAAGTCGTTGTTGGACTTAATCATGTCCACAATACCACAGAATAATAGGCAAATACGGCCTAATCACTTCCAATCAAATCAATCTACGCATACTTTATCTTGCGGTTCGACTACCGCAATCAGCGGATCGTCTGTTGCCTCTAGCTCCCGCCAGGCATCGCCAGTTATGACCCCGGACACCGCTGTCCTTACCACTGGCTCATCGGTTCAGGCATCACCAGAGCCCTTGCCTGCCTTGGATGAAGATCTGTGCCCTCCTCCTTTCCAATTGCCGGAGTCCATTATTACCCGGGAGACGAGCCTAAACTCACAAGGACAGAGTGTGACGAGCAATCCAAATGTGATCCCTGAGACCCCCGGAGTGAGCACCAGTCTTCCAAAAACCACTAGCCTGATCCGCAGAATTTCTAGCCGGGCATCAAGAACCATCACAAACAGGAGGAGACAATCGTCCGCGACTCCCCATAGTCGCGATACGAGCGTTGGGCCTTGCTTGCTAAGGCGACGCAGTGATAGCAATACAACGGCTCCTCCCGATTTCCCCGTTGGCGCAATTGATTCCGAATCTGACGCCGATGAGCGGGATGATCTCCCTTCTTTAAGAATCGCCCTAGGCCATGACGGAGCCATTCGAAGCCCTCATACTCCGAGCACCCCTGCTTCAATCGCATGTAGTTCAACAACCAGTCTGGCTGGACCAGTGATTCCCCTTGAGTTACAGCGAGGAACATGGGTGACAAAGGTCTCCAAAAAGAGTCGCCCAAAGCGGGTCTGCCTCGTTTTTGATGCGGATTCAAGCCGTCTCCTCTGGGACAAGAAGCGTCCAAACAAGTTCGTGCATCTGGATGAAATCATGGCTGTACGCAGTGGCTCGGATGTTCAGCAGTACGGTCTTGATCTCAACATGTCGGGCGTTTCGAATTTGTTCACTGTTATCTATTCTGCGCCAAAGAGAGAGAACAAAATCATGCATCTCATCACCGAGAGCCCAGAAACCTGTAATGTCTGGACAGCCTTCCTGGACGCTATGCTCAAGCACCGCCAAGAGCTGATGATCTCGCTCATGTCCTTCGATGACAATGCAATCGCCCAGTACTGGCAGTCAGAGATGTCAAGGCAGTTTGGAGAGCAACCACGCTCAGGCGAGGACGAAGAACTGGATATCGCCGCAGTGAAGAGGGTTTGTCAGAAGTTGCATATTCACAGCTCGTCGTTGATAGTGGAGAGAAACTTCCACCTCTCTGATGCTAGACAACGCGGCCGGCTGAACTTTGCCGAGTTTCTGACCTTTGTTCGCAGAATCAATCAAAGACCAGACGTCCAACGCATCGTCCGCAGCATTGCGAGGGATCCCGAGCTCGGAATTACACTGGAGGAATTCCTTCGCTTTGTGCAGGATGTCCAAGGGGAGGATATCAGCTCTAATCGTCTCTTGTGGGAGAAGAAGTTTGCGCTTCTCTCACGGAGACCCAAGGGCGAATCGGGCCCAAAGCCGGAAAAGCCAGAAGTTCAGCGTATGTCTGAGGCGGCATTCGTTGGGTTCCTAACTTCGAAGCAAAACAGCCCTCTTCTGGAGGAGCCGCAGCTATTTACTCTGGATCGACCAATGAATGAATATTTCATCTCGAGTTCGCACAACACCTACCTGCTTGGCCGCCAAGTCAAGGGCCGATCCAGTGTAGAGGGCTACATAGCCGCCCTTGTACAAGGATGTCGGTGTGTTGAGGTTGACTGTTGGGATGGCCCGGATGGGCAGCCACAGGTGGTGCACGGACGAACCCTCACAACTGCCATCAGCTTCAGGGAGGTTATGACAACCATCAGCAAATATGCCTTTGTTAAGACGCTCTTCCCGCTGTGGATTTCACTGGAAGTTCACTGCAACCCGACCCAGCAAGCCATCATGGCGGAGATTATTAAGGAATCATTTGGATCACGTCTGGTGACAGAGCCACTGGATCCTGAATCAGACAAGTTGCCCTCTCCATCCCAGTTGATGGAACGTATTCTCATCAAGGTCAAGAAGCCCCGACCGCGCGAGGAGCCTGTAGATACAGAACCTCGTGGTCGCAGAAGAGGCAACAGTCTTAACTCAACTCTGAACTCGCCTCGATCCCGTTCCATATTCGGCGATAGCTCTGGATTCAGCCCCTCTCAATCACTGCCACAGAGCCCGCTGCTCACCCCTAGCCACTCATCTCGTCGACTAGTGAACAAAGCTCGTGTGAATACCATTACCGAGGGCGAGGTCCCAGTCGAGCTACTGAATAGTAGCAATAGCGACAACGAGAGTGGTAGTGAAGCCGGCTCTACGGCACACTCCTCGAACAGCACTGTTCGGGTGCTGGGAGAATTGGGCGTTTACTGTGCCGGAGTCAAGTTCCAAGGATTCGACATGCCTGACGCAAAGAATTATAACCACATCTTTTCCTTCATGGAGTCTAGCTTCGCAAAGAACTCACGCGAGGATAAAATGGCGCTCGACTTGCACAACATGCGATACCTAATGCGAGTATATCCAGACGGGATCAGACTTGGATCAAGCAACTTCGATCCGTTGATTTACTGGAGACGGGGAGTACAGATGGTTGCTCTGAATTGGCAGACGAACGACATTGGGATGCAGCTTAATCGTGCCATGTTTGAAGGAGGCACAGACTCGTCAGGTTACGTCCTCAAGCCAAAGGAGCTCCGCGATATTCAGGTTCTGCCATTCAACCTGGATATTGCCGAAGGGAAAAAAGAGCGATCTGTGGTCTCATTCAACATCGATGTTCTATCAGCACAGCAGCTGATGCGTCCTGCAAACCTCGCGTCGAACAAGGCAATGAATCCATACATCGAGATAGAGGTATTTGATGGACGAGCTTTCGGGCGCAAGTCGGAATCCAGGCTTAGCAACATGCTCTCCACACCACTTAAAGTTCAAACTGAGGTCGTTCGCGAGAATGGTTTCAACCCTATGTTCAACAATGGGCAATTCCCATTCAGGGTGGTTACTAAACACCCAGAGTTTGTCTTTGTTAAGTTCACCGTGAAACTTTCCGCCAACGGCGAGAGCCACAGCAACAAGGACAACGGTGTTGCCTCATGGACAGTCAAGGTATGCAATCTTCGCCAGGGATACCGCACCCTGCCGCTCGAGAATGGCGAGGGTGTTCAGTATCTCTTCTCCTCGCTGTTCTGTAAGATTCGAGTTGATCCAATACAAAAAACATATGTTGAGGATCTCCCTGCCGTCAGCGAAGGTGGCAAATTCAAGAGCCTGGGCGGCAAGATGTTCAATCGCATCAATACCAGTCCCAGAAGCACTATCGACAAGTCGACTGCGGAAAAATCCAGCTTTGACAGCTAGTTACGCAGAATCATTTGTAATAAACCAGGTTGACCTGGCTTTTATTCATTTCGGAAGTGGAGGGTTTGAAACCCATCAGCCACCTTCTGTTTTTTAGCCAACTCCTTCTCTTTGTTTTAGCGATTTAAAAGACTGCCGCCTGCAGGTTCTGGCACTTGCACCAGGGACAGGACTCCCGTTCTAGCATACAGCATATGATCTTCATTTTTCGCCCCTATTGTTTTTCGAGGGGCTCATTGATTTATGGGAGCTGTGGTTCAGGATTTTGGCATGCATATACCACACACATTGTTTGGAAGTTCTAGGGATGGGCCATTGAGAAATCAATATCAAAATGGAGAAAAGGACAGTCACTTCAAGTTTCATAGACGGGATATTTACGGAAGCCACGATTGCTTTTATTTTTATTTCTTTCTCACAGTCGGTGTTTCCTCTGTTTTCTTTTGTTTGCCGTGCCTCTTTTCTTGTTCGCCGAGTCTGTCTCTCCACTGTCGTTACAATCTCATCTTTCGCTGATCGGATTGGGACGGAGGCCAATGGGGGGGACCATGATACTAGCGGCAACAATTTACCGCCAGTTGACAACTTTTGGGCAAATTGAGATCAACTAGTTGAAGTGTATTACACTATTGGCTTTGCTCCTTTGGTCAAGGTCTTGTGAAAACACACAGGTGCGAGGAGCATGGGAAACAGAGCGAAACAGAGTCAATGAGAGTCAATTCACAGGTCAACAAGGGAGTTTGTCGCGCACACGCATATACACACATACATATGCACGCGCATGGGTCATCAGAGTGCGTTACTGGGGCGGTTTTGACAGCATGCATGATATATACATCACCGGTGGCTCGCGCTGCAATGCATCAACCTACGGCTGTGCCGAGGCAGGAATACGTCGGAGTGTAAGATGGAGAATATGGTGAAGGGAAGATGCTGGTTGGTGCATTCAGGATAAGATGGAATCAGTTTGTAGCATACGCGGAGTTTTTGGGAGGCGCTTTCATGGATGTAACGAAATGAAATGACAAGACATGAACCACACACGCTCACTTCCCTGTCCCAAATTTGCCTGCCTGCCGAGACGTGAAACATTGTCTGATGGTTGCTTGCGTAGCTCGTGGCGACAACTCCTTGTATGATCCAGCCCATACCCAGAGCCCTGCTATTTGATGGGCAGCTCTTGAGAACCCCGTTGTATGTAGATCTTTGGGCCAAACTTGCTAACAACGCATCAGGGGGGAGGGGCAGAGTTCGGACAGTCGAGTTAGCATTCGTCTAGTTACATTACGTCCCGTTCACTCGCCGATCTTCATGACGATCAGGCAGACTGATAAGGAAACCACAGACATGCACAACCACGCGAAACCGATGTCCGGCAACTCTCACCCTTGCCCATGTGCGATGTCAATCGCGAGGCGGACTGCGTGCGAGTCCCCATTTGGCGTGTTTCGCCCCCAGCTTGCCAGCCCAGAAGCTGTGAACCCCTCGAGGTCCCTTGAACCCCTCCCCCCCACGTTCGCCCTTCCCTCTCCTCCACCTGCTTCTCTTTTTCCCTTCTCGTCTTTTTTTACTGACGGGACCCCCCCGAGGCCAAGAATTGCGATCAGCGAGGGGAGGGATGAACAGGAGAGAGAGGGGAGGGGGGTGCGTGTTCAAGAGGATCTTCACGCGTGATAATACACGTCGAAGGCAAGGGGGAGAGAGAAGGGGGGGGGGGACATATTTTGTGGCTCGAGTACTCCGTACACGGCACCGCCAAGGGTTTCTTTTTTTCTGGGCCATTTCGTCATCGTGGGAGAGACACGTGTGACGTTTCCCAAGGTTCGGTCCGGGGTGCATGCAGCCATTTCCGCGAATGTGCTGGGCGCCGGGCTGGGAGGTGTGGCGAGCAGGTGACTTGAGACGGGCGGATTGCGCGTGGGGAATGGTGTTCCTTTTTTCGTGGGTTTTGATATTGAATGGTACATATGTAGGTATGTACCCTTGACGAGAACTGTGTGTTCTTGATTTGGGAAAGGCTGTATTTTGTCTCTAATCTGCTATTACTGTATACGTGCGGTCGTCTTTGTGGCATGCTGCAGTCGGTACTCGATGGCCTCGGTGATACGTATCGCAGCCCGTGTCCTTGTCAGGGTTGGGGTGGGCAAAACTCCCAAGACACATATGACTTGGCAATGGCACGTCGCTCGCTCGCCGGCGCTCGGCATACGAGGTTGCAACCCCTCTCTCGTCGCCCAGCCGTACCCCGGAAAAGCGTGGTTGGTGATTTCATGTCTCCCGAGAAGAGGAATTTTGATCATACAGGTATACGTAAATCTAGTAGATACATCAGCCCACCCCCTCCCCGCCTAGAGCTCTTCCCATGGTGGGTGTAAGACCACGAGAGGGTGACAACAAGGACGAAAGATTGAGAATCAGAAGATGTGTAGAAAATGCCATGCAACATTAAAATGGCAGGTAGAGAAGAAACCTCCATGAACCTATCTGGGGGCGGGGGAGGGGAACCACACAGAACGCCTTGACGAAAAATGTTACTCTCTAAAAAAACAAACCAATTTCTCCCTCACGCTCTCTTATCCGCTTGGGTTATTCCCCCTGAGGAAACCGCTGTAGCCCGCTCAAGAGATAATCATGTGACAAGCCTTCCCCAGGCAAAGAAAAGTAAAGGTCTCTAGCCTCGGCGCGTACTTGGACCAGGCACTCGCCGGTCTGATGTCTGCAAAGGCGAGTTAAAGAAAATAATCATTATAAAGACAGAGGCAAGCAAGACATAACAAGAAACTCGTGACGCTGGCGCTTGAACGCTTTCATGGTCTATTGCGAATTTGAATGCATCAGTCGACTCCCTCGTCGTGGTGGCGCGAGGTGACTGTTTTGCCGTTGGTGAAGCTGCTCTGCTTCCTCAACATGCCGCTGGCACCACCACGGCCCCAGCCGCCATTGGTAACAACATCCATGGCACGGTGCTCCGCTTCTTGCCGCTGCTGACGTTGGTGTTGGGCATCGCCGTCGTCGTTATCAATCTCATCCAGCTCCTCCTCGATCGTGCGGCCTCTAGTACTCAGCCTTTTCAAGGGGACGTCTTGGGGCTTATCGGCATAGAGGCTCGGGTCCCGTCCTAATACACGGTCGGCCTTGCTAGGTGTTCGCTTCCCGTTGCTGGAGGGAGGACTGGGGGGATAGTGTCTGCCAGCACCGCTGGCGTTGGTTCGAATAATGACGGGAGGTTCCTCGTTTCCATCGCCCCAACCGGCGTTGATCTCAAGATTGCGTTGATGCTCTCGGTTACGTCTTAAACGCTCCCTGGCTTCCTCCCACTTGGGGTTAGTTTCCCAGGCCCATCCGTCACCAATGGTGTTGGAGACTGGGAAAAACCAGAGCAAAGGCGATGGCCCAAAGAGGTGGTGTAGGTTACGTCTCCATCCCATGTCAAAGGCGTTGGGAAGCTTTTCAGAGTCCTGCTCATCGAGATAGTCTTCATAACGCTTCTTTGCGCGTGTGCGCTCCAGTTCCTCGTAGGACATTTGCACAGGTGGTCGTGGTCCATCGATTGACCTGTGCTCCTCGCCCTCTTCAGGGTGAGTGATACCAGGCAGGGCGTTGGTGTGAGACTGGACGAACTGCTGAGCTGACTGGGGGATGCCGTTTGCCGCGTTCTGAATCTGTTGTATGGACTTTCTCAAAGGGGACAGGTATCGGGTCTTCTCCAGACATTCGATCGTGGTCTGGCCTCTGCTGGCGAGCATGATATGCCACGAGGTGAAGGCACCGACAACGAGCCCTATAATCCCACTGATGACGGCGAGCATGATGAAGTTGAGAGGCATGAAGGTGTCAGTGAAACCCGTAGCGTCGATAATCTCGACATAGACCCATGTTCCGCTGGCAGCGAACGCGTAGAAGCAAAAGAGCGTAGTGTAGATTAGGAAAAGGAGGAACGCCTTGTGGTTTCGCAGGCCAACGCAAGTCGCAAGCCAGGGGCAGTGGTGATCCATCTTCAGAACGCAGCGGCGGCATGTCGAGCAGTGGTGGGCACGATCGGGTTTCCGGGCTTGGCACTTCTTGCAGAAACGAAGTTCGCCATTGCTCTTGACTGTAAGCGATGTCGCGTTGTTCTGGCTAGTTTGGCTCGTGGGAAGGAGGCCGTATCCGTCATCGTTAGTGGTCGAACCGGGATTCGTAAAGACGGCTGTGGTATAACACCAGTTGAGCATGGCATATAGGATCACACCGAAGACAGACGAGCTGGTTCCTGTACCAACGTGCGCCAGGTTAGCAAGACCGCCATAAGTTGGTAGGCAGGCAGATAGCCGGGACGGGCCAGGATGGGAGGCTTTCAGAGACGGGGTTTGGATCGATTGAAGTCATACCTAGCCAGGACTTGTGAGTGCCGAGCCTACCGCAGTTCACGACTACCCAGACGGCCCATGTCGTGATACCGTAGACGAATGCCAATGGCGTGTACTTGGCGCATGTGCAGCACGCACGCTCGAACCTCCGAGCGCAACGGCGATTCATGATGGGAGGAAGTTCGGAGTTGTCGTTGTTGCGGCCGTCAATTCATCGCTTGGGAAGTGTGGTCCAGGGGTTGTCGTCTGGATATATCGGGATCGATGTTCTCTGGTCAAGGATTGGGAAGTATGCAATCAGGGCGACAGGCGCATGACCTGGAAACCGAGAGTCCTTCTTTCTTGGCCACGGCTCGTGAATGACGGAGAAGTAGGTATGGAACTTGGCGATACACCACACTGGCTGTGAAGAAGGAGAGGCGCTGCTGGAGGTGCTGACAAAAAGTAATAATTAGGGGACCAGGGGCCAGACGTACTGACAGAAGTCTCCCCTCTCTCATCTAAGGCACAGCCCACGATCGGATTGACCCCCTACCAGGTGCCCCCTAATAATAGGCACTAGCAGCGGGAGCAGGCCAATCACACGCTGACGGCCCCGGGCATTTTCATCCCCAGCCAGGACCATGATTTAAGAGCAACTTGGACAAGAGGCCACCATTTGTATTTTCTCGTTATCAATCATTGCACTCAGTGGAGGCAAGCTTCAATCTCATAATAGGCCAATTCTATATTGCTCAATCTCTCGGCTATTCTAGTGCTGATGAATTGTGGCTCCGCTGGCCAATTGCTAAGCTGAGGCGCAGTTCCCTGTGCCACAGTTGAGATACATCATCCAGTGGGAGATTAGACTGGGTAGCTTGTGTAAACGCATGTGTGTCCGGTGGCTTTTTGGATGACTAATTAGATAACTTCCTTCAATCCTCATGAAGCATCATCGTCCACCAACTCTTCATAAACAGATCCCTTGTATACTATCCGTCAAAATCTGCGATACGAGACTATTCACCTACGGTGGTGAGTTATTCCAAGCCGGCACAGCAACGCAACTGGATTCCATTGCATTGCAGAATATCACTCCCATCCTGGAACGTGCTTCTTCCCATCTGGACCCTTCTTGGGCCCGAATTTCTCCTTCGCTGCCTCTACAGTCACGTATTGGTTTGTGCCGTCTTCGTACCGTTCAATGGATACATCGACCAACCCAGCGGTGAGTTGGTCTACATAAGCCCCAAATGCGTCTGCTTCGCGAATGTTGCAGCGCTGGCTACTGGATTCGACATGTGCTGTCAGGGCTGTCAAGGAGTAGAACTTCTTGAAACAGTTGGGACAGTTGTAAGATATATTTCCATGAACGGTAAGCAGATGCGAGGTGAGAGCCCTGGCATTCTTGAAGCATTTCCTGCATAGTTGTTTTAGTTAGCTTAAACTTTGAACTCCCTGTGCAAGAAAGGGAACTACTTACGAGCATTCGATCTTGGGGCAAGTGTACTTCCCAACAAATTCAGAATAGTATCTGGAAGCATCGAAGTGAGGATGGCTTGGGTGATCTGGATCCATTGCATCGTGCATTGCCCGTCCATTTGGTGCTGTAGCCCGCTCGAGTTGCCTAGGACTTGGTTTTTGGGGAGCCCATGCATCGGGGAATAGATTCTTTTTTTCAGACCATGCATCTGCCGCAGCCTTGGCCACGTCGTTGACCGTCCCATCGGTGGTTTTATCCGATTCATTCCTATTCGTGCTTGGCTGGCTTGACTGTGTTGTACGATTTGGGGGGGCCGGTAGCGGGAGTTGGGTCCAGGTCGACATGAACTCGGACTCTGGATCTGTTCTTGCCGAAGTACTCTTCTCTGATTGCGAAGGGTTGGTCTTAGAAGATCTGTTCGGATTACTCTCCGCGCGGCTCAAAGGAACTACGGCTGGGGTTGCAGCATTCTTCCTTTCCAAAGATGGGGCTTGTTTATCCTTGGACAAGGTCTCAGAAGCCTTGCCCATCCTTTGAAAAACTGCTTCTGAGAGGCGAGGCCATTCCTCGGCCTTTGTCGCGAAGGGTTTAGTTGGCTTGGATTTGGCGGGTTCAGGTTCTCTTGTTATCTTTGGCTGACTCGCCATCTCAGCCTTGCTTTGAAGATAACTGGAGAAATCATGCTTCAGTGGCTCGTTCGTGAGAGCCACCAGCTTCTTAGCAAATTCCATCTTCTTTGCGCGGACATCGTCCAGAGTATCGGCGGAGAGTCTTGGGCAATGGCCTTTCTCAATATGCTCAACCAGCTGAGCGAGGCGGGTGAAAGGTCCATGATTGCACCCAGGGCACACGAGATTCTGCTTGTGAGGATGATACTGCACTAGTTAGATTGGATTGTAGCTTTTATTCATTCGTGGGAGTGCTCACGAACCTCTTGGATATGGAGTTTCTCTCCTTCCTCGGTGACAAAATCTATCCCACAAAATCGGCAATGAACATGCCCGTATTGATCATTTGCGCGTTTATCTGCTTTGTGCTTCAACATCGCCTCCAAGGTAGGGAAAAACACTCCACAAGGTTCGCATTGAAACTCCCCACAGTCCTGCCTGATGGCGTTTCCAGGCGCCATGGCTGGGTGAACTGGCGAATTTTCAGAAGGAAGCACACGACGTGAAGAATTTAGAAAGACGAGGGTACTGAGTCTGCCAGAAGGAAATCGAAAAGCGGATAATCAAGGAACCAAATTATCTGAGAATCGTTGAGATGCTGTGTGAAAGGGGAGAAAGTCAGTGCCGGACGCAGCTGGTGTTTCTGGAAGGTGAGGGAAGGGGCAGAACAATCGCACCTTCTCTGTTGAGTGGCGTGCGTTTGTCAGGGTAGAACGGAACGAGGAGTGTGCCACCCGGTAGCCTTCTCAAAAGCATCTGAGATTCGGTGGCCCAAAACGACGTCTGTTCAGAAATGTGAGATGAGCGGTTTGTGAGATGAGCGGTTGCTGCCGTAATATAGGGGAAAGCCATTCGTGATTCTTTCCTGAAACATAGAACACTTGCGAATGAGTTTGAGAGATGCTCGCCTTACTTGCCAGTTGATAATGTTCTCTTTTGAATAATCTAAGTGTTAATCGTCTTTATCACTACCCGTCATTTCATCCTCGTCCATGCCGTGTTGAATAGAAAATCCCGAATAGTCCTCTGCCACCGAATCGTTCTCGCTCTCGCTTCCGTCCTCACTACCAGAGCCTTCTTCATTATCAGATCCCATCTCCTGCAACCAATCGTTGTCATTCTCTGCAGCGACGCCTTCATCTGCAATAGAGGGTTCCTCAGTGTGGTCCTCGTCTCTAGCTGGTTCACGAAACCTGACGCTATACCCTTTATGTTTTGCCTTTTTGGAAGGAAGACGACCTCGAAGCTGTGTTATCTCCTTGTCTGTCAAGTACAGGTTTGGGAGCGGCACGACATATGTGGATGGCCCTCCAGATCGAACCGGCGTCTCGTCTCCAGCGCGAAGAGTCAAGGCGAAGTCTCGGTCGGTGAGATGGCGTTTGAATTGGATGGCCACAAGTTTAGTCTTCATTATAGCCTTCACTTTCGCCCACATCCCGCCATGGTACCACCCGCTGTTGCTGTCCCGGGTTGGACGCACAGCTGCGTTATCCAGAAGTTTGCGGAGTAGAGGGTCTGTAATGTCACAAACTTGCCAGACCTTTCCGTCTGTATGGTAAGTCTCCCCGTCAAAAAGATGAGTCTGGGATGTATCCATATCTCCGGCTTGATTGGGACGTAGGCTATGCCAGGACTGGAGGTGCCGTGTGCTTCTGTGTTTAGACAAGAGCTTGAACATGAGCGTCTGATAGATCCGATACTTTGGATCAGTTCGAGGATCTAGTCCGTACGGAACAACCCCATCTCTCCAAGGACCACCCTTGAACTGGTACGCCACATAGTTGAGATACTTCTTCAGCTCGTTCCAATTCCGTAGTTTCCCTCCCAGCCGATTCATCAGAGCTCTGCGAGTCCACAGCGGTCTTTCTTCAAAAGCGACCTCTAATTCTGCAATCACCTCGACAGTCCGAGGATCTGTCATGTCTGGCGGCACCTGCGGACCTTGAGGCGTCGGATCTTCAGCCGCTATGAAATATCCAATCTGTTGAGCCGCATATGCATTGAATGCATTGCCGTCCTCTGTAGTCCGAACATATGGATTTTGAGAGTAAAAGTAGTTGAATGGCATGCTCATATGGGTGAAAACGGGTGGCGGAATAACGTCAACATTCGGACCTTGATCAATGCCGGGCTTGAATTTGAATTCCTTCATTTTTTCCACTGCGCCACATGTGTTAGCGAGACTCGGCTTCTAAGTAGGAGAGAATACTTACCATCACCGGGAAGAACTTGATCGATATATCTCCGAGCAAAGTCTGATCTCGATGACATGTCCCAGTAGAAGTCCGCAAGACCTCTAAAACGATGGGAATGCTCAATTATGCCCGCGACTTCTACCTCATAGTTTCCCACATTTTCTTGCAGTTTTCTCTTCAGAAGCCTAGGATCATCCATACGCGCCTGAGAAGACACATTTCCTTGCGAGGAGGGAGGCTCGCCCGAGTCTACAACATCAACATCTCCTTGCCAAGGCCCCTCACTGCCTCTCTTGCGTTTTCGTCCTGTCCGTTTAGGGACAGTGACTTTGAGAACAACATTGTGAGACTTGGCATTGTGGGACATCAAAGGTTTGCAAAACGGGCTATCTGGGTTCATAAACAATGGAATGGAGTGGTTATCCGGATCCAAGACCTTCAATGCGAGTTAGTTCGCGACGTCTAGCGAATGAATAGCTATCAACTCACATGATTTAGATTGGCAACTCGGCCAAACGCCCTCACTGCGCGATCTACATCCTGTACAACGGCGGGGATCTCAACGGCAGCAAGTTTCCTTGCGGGTATAGCATATCGTGGTGCACCTTGCCGTGTCCCTGGTTCATCCGAAGCCAATTCGCTAGGTCCACGTTCAGAGTTTGGACTCTGCTGTTCGGCGTCGGCCTCGACGGTGGATGGTTCCATGGCAATCTTTCGACTTTATGACACATATGAGACACGGAAATTGGAATACCCAAATCAAAGTATGAATGGACTCATGGGTGGGCTGCCGTGCCGAGGGAAGGTGCTGAGAGCCTTTCTCGAAGAGATATTCGCGACGGTGCTTGCTTCTAAATCTACACTGTGTCCATCAGCAGCTTGAGGCGGTGGGACACAGTGCGAAGTTCACCACAGGCTTTTCACACACATTCCAGGTGTCTTGAGAAGAAAACCCTATGATTATTAGAGTGTTGGCACCAAGGCTCTTGATACCAATCAAGTCATTCTCAAGGTTTCATTTTTTTTTGTTTACAGTCTGCGGCTAACCTTCCCCCAAAACCTGCGCCACAGGTCGTGATGAAATGTGGCTGATGGTACAAAGTCACGGGAACAGGCGCGTGTTAGCAGCCAAGTGGGTGACAGAAGACATTGCACACCAAACGTTACTTTGATCTCCCCTTTGACCAAACCCCTCACCTTCAGAGCCTAATAAACCAGCAATAAATAGATAATACACCCTTATTAAAGATAATAGTTTAGTATTTGGACCTCTAACATTTATTGTATAGCTTTTGTTTATTATTTTAATAGATTTTGTCTGGTAAACTGCGAGTTGAAAACGCCTGTGATTTGCGTGTGCAATGTCTTATGTCACCCGCTTGGCAGCCAACAGCTCCGTCAAATGAGGGTGACCTCAGCGTAATCCTACAAAACAGTTCCAGTAGCAATCAATGCGCACTCAGTGAAATATCGCAGTTGGCATAGGGGTAGCCAACTGGTCTAATAACCAATGGAAACCTGGAGATTGGATGTTTGCACCAGGTTGTTTCCAGGAGCAACAGCCACAACAGCATCTTCAGGAGGTATGCAGTCTCAATTTAGGAGCTGTTCCACGAGCAGCCATACCCCCGTCGGCGCTCCAGAAAGTAATCATGCAATCTCAAGGATCGGTTCCTAGTGGGTGGCCTCGTAAGTCCAGAGTTCTCGGATAATGGCACAATAGGGCCAACAGATATTACCGCGCTGCAGAGTGCTATATACAGTATTGAAAACAGTGTTTCCGCGATCTAATTTACCAGACCCCGCGTCACTGGATTCCTGGGATGGGCCCTCGGGGATGGAAGCTCAGCCACTGATTTCAAGGACGGGCACCACCCGCACACCCTCTTCCCGCCTCAGGCTCAGTGGTACGTGGTTGGAAGGCAGCCATAGGCCAAGGCGTCCAGCTTCTACTACCTCTCCAACAAATCAATGTGTAATTTATCCATCATTCCCGCCCGCCTTGCGATTGCGCACTAGCAACTTCCCCAAGTACCGTGCCACCTGACCACTCTGAAACCGCCAGAGGCAGCTTTTATTAGGCGGCGCGCGCTGACCACCAGCCCATGCAGGTCGTAGCTTTCCTCTCCACAGCTGGATCTACAGGCATGTACGAATGATGTACGGCGGCGTGCGACTGCCTCCCAGTTCCCTTTGGTAGAGCAGGTACCTGTTAGTGCGCCTCGCGTAGTGGGCTCCTGCATCCTACGCCGGCAGCCTATTCGCTGTCCGAGGCCTGGCTAAAATCCCGAAGGCCTTAAACAGGAGCTTCCATTCAGCGTACCTACCGCCTGCACCTTGCCTCGACACCGTCCCTGCCTGCTAAGACCTGCTACCTACCAGGTTAGGTACCGTCCCGGTCCCCATCATCCCATCCCTCCAGCCCAGCCCAGCTCAGGCCAGTGCAGTAGCAGCGCACCGCGGAGCACCGCAACCTAACCAGCACCACAATTATCCCCCTTGTGGTTGCTTGCTTCTCATCCACCACCCCAGTCTACGCCCAACCAGGCCTCTCTGCGCCTCTTCGTCCCTGCTGCCAATTCCCCCAAATCAAAACCCCCTCAAGACCAACCGCCCCATCCTGAATCGACCGTTGCGCTTCCACATCCTTAGCATATTCAAGCACGACAGATTTACTCCGGCCTCCTTCGGGAGCCTCAAGCGCTCGCACGTTCACGCCCATTGCTCTCAACTCTACCCCACTGTGAGCGTGCCTAGAAGCAGCAACTCCCCACTGCGAGATAGGATTGGCGGTGCAACCTGGAGACCAAGATGAAGCGCCTCGGCCAGAGAGTGGTAAGGAGCTCGCCATCCCTCTCTTCGTCGTTTTTTTTTTTGGATTACCTCTAAAGCCTTAACTAATCATAGGCCCAACAGCTCTCAAGGAGCAAAGACAACAGCAAATCCTCCAAGAAGAATAGGGAATCGAAGGACGGAGCCGCGTCCCCCTCCTCCCGCGATTCGAATCAGTCACCTGTTCTCACTCCATCTTCGTCGACGTCGACCCTCAACGATGTCCGCAAGTCTATGCCCGCCAACCCTTCGGGGATGGGAGGTGATCATTCTACCTCACAGCCTTCCGGCCTGTCCAATGTCGTGCAACCTGGCAACGTGCCTGACCGGTTCGGTGCATCTGGCGGAGCCTCGAGCCCCAATGGTGGACCTAGCAATGTGAGGTTACCACCCACTGTTGTCATCAGCCCAACACCTGGAGTAAGTTTAGATACCTGATTCATCATGGGCTTTCGGGTACCTCCTGGTGCCGAGCAATAGGCGAGTAGCTGACTCTTCTCCAGCACATCCCTCCCCCTGGAGCTGCCGAGACCATGCCTCATGACCTGGCCCCCCCCAAAGCCGGCCAAAAGTCATCAATGTTGATGCATAGAGGAATTGACAATCGAGACGCGATACCCGAGGGTTTGAGGACACCGAAACGACAGCATTCGTCTCGCTTCGACATCTCGGCTCATCGCGAGTTAGAGAAGCTTCCTGGTTTCCATGAGGTGCCTCCTAACCGTAGACAGGAGCTTTTCATGCAAAAGATCGACCAGTGCAATGTTATCTTCGACTTTAACGATGCGAGCGGTGACATGAAGTCAAAGGAGATCAAGCGCCTGGCACTACACGAGCTTCTAGATTACGTTGCGAATAACAGGCAGGTTATAACAGAACCCATGTACCCCCGAGTCGTCGACATGTTTGCCAAAAACTTGTTCCGTCCGATCCCGCCACCAATGAACCCTCAAGGGGAGGCGTTCGATCCAGAGGAGGACGAGCCTGTACTGGAGGTTGCTTGGCCGCATATCCAGGTCGTCTACGAGTTCTTCCTGCGCTTCATCGAAAGCCAAGACTTTAATACAAATATGGCTAAGGCATATATCGACCATAGCTTCGTCCTCCAGCTTCTCGAACTCTTCGACTCCGAGGACCCTCGTGAGCGAGATTTCTTGAAGACGACACTCCATCGAATTTACGGCAAGTTCCTTAATCTCCGATCATTTATCCGCCGTTCGATCAACAACGTCTTCTTTCAGTTTACGTATGAAACTGAAAGGTTCAACGGCATTGCAGAGCTGCTTGAAATCCTCGGTTCCATCATCAACGGATTCGCTCTGCCATTGAAGGAGGAGCACAAGATCTTTTTGACACGTGTTTTGCTTCCTCTTCACAAGCCCAAGAGCCTGAGCATGTATCACCCTCAGCTTGCGTACTGCATCGTCCAATTTTTGGAGAAGGATGCTTCTCTCACAGAGGATGTGAGTATCTCTGCATTTTTAGTTCTCTTCTACTATCTTTGGCCAAGTTACTAACGATTTAGGTTGTTCTTGGACTTCTGCGATACTGGCCCAAGGTCAATAGCACCAAGGAAGTCATGTTCCTCAACGAAGTCGAGGACATTTTCGAGGTCATGGACCCGGCCGAGTTTGCCAAGGTTCAAGAACCTCTCTTCCACCAGCTGGCCAAATCTGTGGCCAGCCCACATTTCCAAGTCGCCGAGCGCGCATTGTACTTCTGGAACAACGAATACTTTTGCAACCTGGTTAGCGACAATGTGGAAATTATCCTGCCTATTATGTTCGCACCTCTATATGAGAACTCTAAGGGTCATTGGAATAGGTATGTGTAGCAATTTATAGCCTGAGCATGATGAAATAGCTGACCAAGGCATAGAACAATCCATGGCATGGTGTATAATGCTATGAAGCTCTTCATGGAAATTAACCCCCAGCTCTTTGATGATTGCTCGCATGACTACACAGAGCAGCAGAATAGCGCAGCCGAAAGGGAAGCTATCCGTGAGCGGAAATGGGCTGCCTTGGCCGAAAAGGCCGATATACAACGTGAATCAAATGGTACTGCCAATGCGTCCGGGAGGGCCCAGGGAGGCAACCTCGCTCGTGTGGATGAAGTTGATCCCCTTACCGAGGACAACCAAAAGCGCCTCAACTCTTTGAAGCTTCAAGATGCCTCAGCACGCCGCCCAGGAAACCATGAGCGCCAAAGTTCAGTGGGCTCCGCAAAATCCAGGTGACGAGCTGAAGTATCGAGCGGATGAGTTGTCTTCAGAGCCTACCAAATCTGCATATTTAAGTTCACGATACATCAGTGCAACTATGCCCACTACTTCCTGTTCTACATATTGAGCAAGGTCGTTTTGAGCCCTCCAAAAAAAAAAGTCGGTGTTCTCTCGAAGCTTTCTGAGATCATCAAATGGCTCCGTTGTTGGCAGGCCACAGCCGAACATAATTCTGGTTTACGCGCCGGCGGCAGTGACCATATACAATTTTAGTAGATTTCAATATGGCAATGACGTTGCTTGCGAGCGATCAAAAACACTTCTTCCCCATGAGTAAGGACTTGGGCTACGGTTTGAGATCATAGCACGAATACATGGATGGTAGGGGGGTGGGGATATGAATGCCTTTGCCGACATGAGCGCAAGAGGCGATTGTTTGCTACCTTTTTTCTTTTGAACCCAAACCTCTTCTACGTTTTTTCTTACCTTCACCGACTCCTCGGTCTGTTACAACTTGGCGCATGGGTAGGGCCTGAATCACGACCTCTCTCGTTTGTGTTTACTATCAATTGCCCTGTCTTTATTTCAAGAACAAGCCCATACTGGCCTACTTCGGGGGACAAAGTCGGGGTGGGAAAAAACGGCAAGGATTGCAAGATGGTTCTTATGTCTGGTGGAATTGAATGAATGCTGGCGGAGATTTGGCATGTGGAAAAGGGGATCTTCATGCGCACTGCCCTTTTTACTGTTCTATTGCTTTTTTGTTCGCTTCTTTCCCCTCCCCTTAGTTTTCTGATGTAGACGACGAATGAGGAAACCATGAAAAGTCGATATCGTATAGACGAGTGCTTAAATGGGAGTCAGGTTATCTTTCACGTTGGCGGGGTGGACGCAGTATTCTTAGACAATGAAATGCACCGAACGCCGTTATATTAACCTTTGAGGATCCACCATCACAACACCTGTGTCAACAAGACGAGTTTCCCTACTATGCCCACATATTTTCAAATACACTTTTTCCATACAGATTGATTTCCTCGACACTATTCCCAATGCTGTCAGAGCGCGTGAAGATTTACCATCCGCGACCTCCACGGTCATAGCCGCCCCTCCCTCGTCCCCTGAACCTGTCATTCCCCCTGCCGAAATTGTTTCCCTGATAATGATGATGATAAGATGGTGGCGGTGGTGGAGGTGGAGGCTGAGCCGAGCCCCATCCGCCAGCCATGTTCACAGGTGGTACAGGAGGGAACCAATTCGAAGGTGGTCCTCCCATAGAATTTGGCGGCGGCGGGGGCCAAGGACCTGCATATCCTTGTGGTGGAGGGGGAGGGAAAGAAGGGAAGGGGTGTTGGGACGGAGGGGGAGGAGGGGGTGGTGGTGGTTGAGAACCCATGAAGTTGTTCTCGGCCGGGGGTGGCGGTCGGTTGTGATATGGCGGCTGTCTCGGGCGAGAGCGGGAGCGAGAGCGGGACCTAGATCTGGAAGGCGAGCGACTATATGAGCGTCGACGGAAGCGTCGTGAGTCGGGGCTTCGACTTCGACTTCGACTGCTGGAGCGACCTCGTCCAGCTGGCGAGTCGGAATATCGACGACTCCTGAACGATGCACGGCCGGGGCTCAATGAGCGGCGTCGCGAATCTTGGTCCGACATTGACATGGACCTTGATCTTGACCTTGAACTTGAGCGGCCCTTTGCCTCCCTATTCTTCGCTTTCCGTTTGTGGATCTTCATCTGCTCGCAGAATTTCCTGGACCAGCCGTAGTAGGTCTCCCCGCCGACAATCTCGCCAGTGACATCGTCCAGAATTATCCTCTCCCCAAGTTCGTTTATCTCATCATTATTTTCTTGGGTCCCTTTGGAAAAGATATAATCTGCATCTGCGAGTAGATCCTGAACAGCGGCGACAAGCTTCTGGCTTGCGGGTCCGGCTTTCAATTGCAAGGGCTTGATCTCCTCTGGCTTCATGGGCTTGGTGGAATTGGATTGCATGTGCATGAGCCACGTAGATGCAGGTAGATCAAACCATGGCGTCGAGGGGTCGCCATGTAACGCGGGGAGGATGAACGGCGTGTCTTTTGAAAGCTTCACATTGGTGTTGCTGATGGATTGACTCGGAGGTTGCTGGGGCGAGACGCCATTTGCGAGAGCATCGCGGAGCTTTGCAATAAAGCTTGCAGAGAAGTATGATTTCTCCTGCCATAAATCCAGGAGATTCTCGAGCTTATTTTTGTGCTTCGGGCACTGCTCGAAATCGGCGGCGGCGGCGAAGAGAGCAGGCAGATGCGCCTCCCACGCGGACTCTAATTTATGGTTATTAAGCCGAGTCACCAAATGATGAATGACATCGTTGAGGAGGAAGAGAATATGCAGTCTCCATCTCTTGAGACTGATTCTGCGGCCGCGGTCGCTCGGTTTCGACGCGAGAGCCGCCAGGTACTTCCCCAGAGCTGTGGCCCGGTGGGTGGAAGAGACAGCGATGTTGTCGACGATCCAAGATCTACACTTCTGTTTCCGGCGGAAGCAAGCATGCAATGTTTAGTGAATCTGCACGAACGTGTCTCGAGCAATGAAGCAAACCTGGACGTTGGGACGAGAGCATTGGACGAGGGCCGAGTCGAGAAGTAGAAGGAAGGCTTCAGCATCAGGGCGCGTGAGGGGGGTTGGATCGGCGCGGAAGAGGGCCGCGAACAGCGCCGCGTTGGCGATGGCGAGTTCGTGCTCCATGCCTGGTTAAATGGTTAGATTAGGTGTTCCGGGCTTTGGCCTCGGGGGGTTGCTGGGCAGAACGGCAGAGGAGCGCGTACGTGTAGTGGTATGTAGAGACCGCCCAGGTGGTACAGTGGTGTAGTTTGCGAAAATGCGCATTAGAGCTCTGACCTGAGATAAGATAAGCAGGCACCCTTCTGGCGATGATAGACATCCGCGCCGGCCTCAATCATGACGCAATAATATCTGATTCATTGCACCTGAAGCAAAGAGATACGGATACCTTAATGTTCTTTTGTGCATTTGAAAGTCGTTTTGAAATTGTTTGCTTCCTCAAGATACTTGCTCTGCCGAATTATGGGGATCAAGCCAGGTCTTAGCGGTCTTCATGCTTCTCTTACAGTCACTCGCTGCACTACGTATACCTTACATAAATGCATTCTACGAGCTAGTGAGGCACATTGGGCAGAAATAAATCGATTCAAATGTGTTAGTTATACATGGGAAGCAGCAAGGATACTTCCACAGGAGCATGTCAGAGTAACTTATGTACCAATATCATACACAATGTCATTCAATGTAGGTGACCACCTGCCAGGGACATACCGCCTTTCTCTTACGAGAATCTGTCTCCCTTGGGACTTCGAAACGGTGTTCTCGACTCGAATTTACTCTTCTCATCCACCTGCTGCTGTTCGGTGGTCGGCGCATGCCTCGTGGGTGCCGGGTCACTGGAGCCCTCTTGGCTCGGAGAGCCTGCAATGTCTTCCCGTGCCGCAGCCGGTCCATTATCCTGGAGAATAGACTCCAGAGTCTTATTCTGGTGCTTCTTCAGGCGCTTGGCCTCCTCCTTTGCTTGACGCTCACGGTTGATCTCTCGCTTGGCGAAAACGTAGGCGCCGGCACCGCCTGGGAAGCGAAAACGTTAGATTTGTGCTTATAAATTCGAAAAAGGAAATATAAACAGAAGCTCGAAGCATATAGGACGTACCGAGGCAGAGCGAACCCCAGCCGAGCCTGCAACATGGTCTGTCAGTGAGGATTCAAAAAGTGGCATGATCTTTCAAGACCAACGAACCAGAAAGATTTAACCTAAGAATACTTGTCAGTCGGTGAGAAAATCCATGCGAATAAAATAGAAAATGGCCTTACAGTGTTCATTTTGCCTTGCTAGAGAAATGATTGACCTTGCAAATAGTATTTCTTTTTTTTCGGTAAGGGCAGGAGGGATTTTGTTTCTTCAAATGCGACTCTTAACAAATCGATGTCGAAGTTATGCGGTCATCGGAAGGAACAAATCGGAGCTTTGCGACAGGAATTAAGGTGCCCACAATTGCGGAGCGCTAAGATTCAGGGTAGCACACCTCGAGCGCCTCCGCCATTGGATGTCTTCTCACCGGTGGCTGCATGGTTCGCGGTGAGCTGATGATAGCACAGCCAAAGCTCTCGAGCTCATATCTAAGATGCGAGATGCTTCAACAAGCCCGCGCGAGATCTAAAACGGGCTACATTCTCTAAGGATAGATTGTGTGGGGCGTCTTTCCTTTCTTCTGTTGTCGCACCTCTGCTAATAATTATGGATGGGCGTGCCGGCTTGCCTCTAATAGAAAGAGATTGGCGCAGGCAGATCCTCATTCGAGCATTGAGGGCCCTCTGCTGTTTAGTAGCGGTCAGTGTTCGGCACCTGGTAGGTTACCACATCAACAATTGACGCAGCCGTCGCAAACCGGCGCGCCTCTGGTTACGTGTGAATTGGCCGAATCAATTAACCTTCCCATCCATGCAGAATTAATGCCCTTGATTCGCTGCAGATGCTGGCCAGTCAGCGGGCCCGGCACATGCGTCAGCCAAGAATTGACCATGGGCTCGTGGCTTTGTTGGGGTTTTGGGCTAAGTATCAGGTGCGCACCCGTCGGCCTCGAATTTGTTTAGGGGCAAGTGGGTGAAATAAAACATGGTACATCGAGATAGTTCATCATTAAACTTCAACACAATATTACAATAAATAACCTAGCACTGAATACAATATCAAGCCAAATATTATAGAATAGTTTATTACTCTCTAATTATTCTCTTATTATGGTGTTTAGTTAAAAGCCGAGGTCCCTGCCTTGCGCGGAAAGAGCTTTGGTGTGCCACGTTTTATTCCACCCACGGCAATGCGTCGCGTTTTCAGCGGATGGGCCTAAGAAACGCTCTAAACTAGACTCTCGACTGAGCCACAATGACAGGTCATGGATGCAAACACGAGACAGGTACAGCGATGCCAGGCACCTGCGTATAGAGTAGAGCACCTTGCCGTATTCCGCAGGTCATGATTCGTGGTCTCGGCAGTCTCTGTCCAAGTATTTCCTCCATGCTCAGAAGCCAGAGAGGCACGGTAATCATTAGTTTTTAATAGGGTTACACAACTGCCGTCCTGCCTCTGGTGCCAGGTATTGGAAAAGGTACCTGGCGTAGCACTGTAGCGGTGCCCGCCCCACCATGATCGGGCGGCAACCTTGGGAAGCCCCCCAAGTGGGTGTGGTACTTTACTATTGGTGCGTGGCACGCCTACGTATGAGGTACCTGATTTCTTGTTCGGGGGGAGACCAGGGAGCCAAATAAAATCTCTTGGCATCAACCTTACCGTTGGTCCATCCTCGACTTGTAACCTGCGACTATCCTATCCAGCCAGCAGTGCTCTTAGTTCTAAGTGCTGGCCGACCGATTTCGAATACAAGGGAATGGTTCCAGAAACGCGACGACAAAGATTTGCAAGGCTGCCCCTTTCGTGCCTAATTACCCGATCCGTGGCGAAGCATATGCGTTCCAACTAAACGGGGATAATTTCTGGGGTCGTGCTCTGCTTAAACGTCACTGGCGTCGCACCCATCCGTCCATACACCATCGAACCCCCCCTTGGAAATTCCTGCGACTTCTTCAACCGCTGCCATCACATCGCTTCTCGCACCCTGTAGCACATCAGTCCTGCTCGAACAACAATCGGGCTGGTCCCTTTTCTTGTGCCCTGCATGACAGTTGATGAGTTTACAGGACCCAGTCGAGACATGGGTCTGATGGGGAGATACACCTGGAACCCCGCCGTTTACCTAGATCACGAGAACCTCATAAATACATTATACTAATATGGCTTCGGCCGATGGCGATGGGCCTGATGGCTCTTCTTTGGTGTGTAGCTGCTCTCTCTCTCCCTTGGGTCTAGACTCCTGTGCTAACCTGTCACTCTTCCGCAGAGACCTGTGTCGTCGATTCGAGCTCGGTTTGAGAACATGGGCAAAGGTACCGACGGCCCAGCTTCAACTCAAGTCGTAGCTCCAGCTCCAGCTCCAGCTTCCGCTCCCACTCCTACTCTTGCACCTCAGAAGCCCCCCTCTCGACCGATTTCGCCGGCCCCGAAGCCGAACAAGCTAAAGGACTTCAAGCCATCCCAGGAAACCGCTACATCGGTTCCCTCGACACCAACAGTCATTCCGCCTACTCCAACGACACCTGCAGCCCCTCCGCGACCGAAAGAGAAGCCCAAGATACCTCCATCACCTTTCATTCGCCAAGATGCTCTTCCATCTGCCGCTGGTACCAACCACGTCAACACACCCCCACGACCTAATTCGATCAAACCAATTGTGAATGCCAAGGCCGAGCCTCTACAGCCTCAAGCTCCTGCTGTGACCGTACAACCACCACTCTCGCCGCCAAAAGTTAGGTCGTCCACCGTTCCTGTTGGCGAGCACCCTAGTCTGTTAAACCCCGAGACTGCGGTATCTATAGCCTCTGGCCCCGGTTCGCCTAGCCGTCCTCTTACTCCATCGCCGGCATCACCGTCCAGGTCACCTCGTTCCACAGCTCCCTCGCCACCTCCCCCAAGACGATCAGCAGAACTTCGACGAGACAAGGAAACAAAGGTCCCGCCCCCACCGCCGAATCCTCGGAGGGAAAAAGCAGCGGTGGATCAAGCTGGCAATATTCGCAGCTCCTCTCGAGATTCTTCAAGGGCCAAGACGCCGGATGTGGCCCAGGAAACCTCACCTTTTAGCAGTCCCCCGATCAGTCCCAGGGTCGGCAATGACGATGACGAGGTCCCCCCCGAGCTTCCGGTCCGGCCAAGACCTAAAAGCACGATCATGCCTGCTCGGCCCCAATCAACTGCCACTAACTTCGAGCCACCTCCAGTCCATCATTCAATTTCAGTCCGCCGGGGTCAAAGAACTGAAGAGAGGAATGGTTCCGTTAGCCATGGACGTTCACTCGATGAAGCTAGACCTAAGCCTACATCGAAAATCACGTCTATGGAGCCGCCTCCCCGTCCTGTTTCCATGATTGCTCCTCCTCGGCCGCCTCGGCCTGGCGTTCAAGCTCCAGCCCAGATTTCAGCACAAATACCGGAACGTCGCCAATCTACGGTAGCAAGACGAGCTTCATCGAACCCAACGACGCAGCAGCCTCCATTACCCGCGACAAGGACGCATGGTCGGTCTGGTACTGTGGACAGCAGAATAGAACGGCCGCCAATAGAACGACCGCCCATAGAACGACTGCCAATAGAACGGCCGCCAATAGACAAACGCAGTCTCGCCCCCGCCATAGCTCCAGTTAAGCCTGCACCGTCAGCCGCCTCCAACCAGATTCCAGTTCCAAAGGTGGAGGCTGTCGCACCAGTTGTCACCTACCCTGATTGCTCAAGCACAAATCGCAGGGCGCCGTTTGTTAAGCGTGGTATTGAGGAGATTGCGACCAGGTATGATCCCAGGATCTTCGATGTGTGTGGCGAAAATGTATGCACAAGTGGACAATTGACAAGAGTTTGGAATGTTCTCGATGGCGAACTCATCATGAGTCTGGCTCATACTGAGGGTATCAAGGCGACGTCAGTTGCGTTCAAGCCAGCTGCTGATCCCCAGAATGAGGGCTGGAAAATCTGGATTGGTACAACATCTGGTGAAATCATGGAGGTTGACGTTGAGACTCATGAAATTACCAACAGCAAAGGTGGGATACACGGCAGACGGGAAGTGATTAGGATGTATCGCCACTTCAATGAAATGTGGACCTTGGACGAGCTGGGTACTCTTCTTGTTTGGGGTCCTGATGAGACTGGAGTCCCGAATGTCGCTGGCAATCCTCATCAAAGCTTCAAAGTACCTAGGGATCATACATTCTCCATGGTCGTGGGGAGCGAGTTGTGGCATGCCACTGGAAAAGAAGTCCGGATTTTTGCGCCAACGTTGCATGGCCGAGACCAATTCCAGGTGTTGATCCGGCCGCTAGTAGCTGAAGGTGCTGGTGAGGTCACTGCTGGGTCTCAGGTCAAGACACAACCTGGGAAGGTATATCTGGGGCATAGCGACGGGAAAGTCAGTATCTGGTCAACCATTGACTATTCGTGCCTGGCGGTTTTGAGCATCAGTACATGGAAAATCAATGCACTTGCTGGAGTTGGCCAACGCATCTGGGTTGGCTATAACAACGGTCGCACCTGCGTGTACGAGATTAGCGAAACCCCTTGGACCATTCTCAAAGACTGGCAAGCACATTCCCCTGGCAATCCGGTGCTTGGCGTTAAGGCAGATCCTGCCAGCTGTTACAGACTTGATCGTCTGCAAGTGGTATCGTTGGGGGCTGACAATAAGCTCAAAATCTGGGATGGGTTGTTGGAGGATGACTGGGTTGAGGATGAGATGAAGTCTAAAGACACGGAATATTGTGAATTTGACGAAATACGAGCAATGGTCTTCACCTGGAACGCCGGTGCATCGACGCCGTCAAGCTTACGATACTCGCACAATGACGGCGAATTCTTCCCTGATCTGATCAAATCTAGTGGCGCCCCCGACATCCTCATCTTTGGTTTCCAGGAGCTTGTCGATCTGGAGGATAAAACAGCTACTGCAAAGAGGTTCCTCAAGGTAAAGAAGAAGAAGGAGGAAGGCACCGATCAAGAGCGCATGAGTCACCAATACCGAGACTGGAGAGACTTCTTGAAGAAGACGCTCGACGATTATACCCCGACAGATGATCTGTATCATCTTCTCCATACGGCGCCTTTAGTTGGCCTCTTCCAATGTGTTTTTGTGAAGTCATCCCTCCGGGATCGAATCCGAAACCTGAACGCTGCTGAAGTCAAGCGCGGCATGGGCGGCTACCACGGAAACAAAGGTGCGGTAGCGGTTCGCTTCCAAATCGACGACAGCTCAGTCTGCTTTGTCAATTGCCATCTTGCCGCTGGCCAATCGCAGGCCAGTGCTCGTCACAATGACATCGCCGAGATTTTGGACTCGAGCCTTTTCCCTGCTGAAAGAGACCCTGGCGTACGCATCGACAGCTTTGCCGGAGGCGGTGATGGCACGCTGGTAGTGGACCACGAGTTGTGCATTCTTAATGGCGATCTTAACTATCGAATTGACACGATGTCCCGCGACACTGTAGTGGGAGCTGTCAAGCAAAACAACCTCAGCAAGCTCTTGGAGCGAGATCAGCTCCTCGTCGCACGACGTCGCAATCCCACATTCAAACTGCGTGCCTTTGAAGAACTTCCCATCACCTTTGCTCCTACTTACAAATACGACGTCGGGACGGATAACTACGATTCGAGCGAGAAGAAGAGAAGTCCTGCCTGGTGTGATCGGCTGCTGTTCAGAGGCCGAGGAAGAGTCCAGCAGCTGGACTACCGAAGACATGAGGTCTATGTAAGTGACCATCGACCGGTCACGGGTAATTTCAGGCTCTGGGTCAAGAGGGTCAACCACAGCGCGAGAGCAAAAGCCTGGATGGAGAGCCAGCAAAGCTTCGAGGTCGTGCGCGAGCGAGAGACGGCAGATGAAAAGTGAGTTTGTTCCCCAGCTATAGAATGCCGTTGAGCATAAAAGCAGTTCCGAGGAAGGCTAACACATTGAATGAATAGACTCCATTATTTGATGACGACATGCGGCTATGATGAGGCGACAAGCAAACAGCTGATCCGAGAAAGGGCAAAGCCTCATCGAGGCCACTAATCTTCCTGTTTCCGGGAGCAAGGTGTTTTAGATGGGCTGGATTCACGACATTTAAAAAAAAATTCGGCAGGATTTGAAGCCGCCACGGCGAACGAATACAAGATATAGAGCTACTTTTCACAACCTTCCCCTTTAGTTAGCACTTTAGACCTGATGAGCGTGCATAACACTGATTGTTGTTGGGCGTTTTATCATGTGCCTTAGCTCCAGCTTCAACGTGCTGTCTAATAAGAGCAAGCGTCAGGTGTTGAAATTTCCATGAATTAAAATATGCTATATGGCGTGCGTGTACTTCACCCCAACTATCCTAACCAGTCGTGTACCCGTGATTCCAGACGGCGTGACATTTAAATCATTATCAGATCGGTGCCAGCTCGAACTAACATTAAAGAAGGCAAGTGGTTATCCATCGTTTCCTTGGACGTGCAGGACTTCCTCCCCCTCCCCTCTCTCTTAAGGGGATATCGCCCCAGTCTCCCCGACCGACGGGGGCTCGTACCGCACCTCGTGGTACTCCTCCAGGGCCGAAGCCCACCACTCCTGCTCCTGGAGGGCGTCGAGGTCGAGGGCCATCTTGATCTCGCCAAAGTAGTTGACCTCGCCCTGCTGCCGGAACCCGAGCTTCTGGAACAGGGCGCGGCTGTCGTCGTTGCCCTCCTTGATGCGCACGATGAGGCCCCTGAGGCTCCTCTGGGCCCTGCCGGCCAGGTTCACGTCCAGCCAGTCGGCGTCGGTGGTTGCGGCGGCGTTGGCGGAGCTGATGCTGCTGGTGCGGCTGGCGGTGCTGCCGCGGCGGAGGGAGGGGGGGAGGCGGGCGTCCCCCTCGGCGAGGAGGCCTCGCACGTGGCGGTGGATGTAGACGAGGAGGGCGCAGACGGCGGCCTTGCCCATGCCGCGCCCTCGGCTGGCGCGCTCGGCGATCATGATGTCGACCTCGCCGACGAGCCAGCCGTCGCGCTCCTCGTCGCTGCTGTCGTACCCGTCGTCGTCATCCTGGGCGTCGTCGTCGTCGTAGTCGTACTCGTCCGGGTCGTAGTCGTGCAGGAAGAAGTTGACGTCGCCGACGATGTGGTCGGCCGAGTCGTAGAGGGTGTCGCCGCGGATGAGGGTGGGCAGGGCGGCGGCGTCGGTGGCCAGCGGCAGGCAGACGATGAAGGTCAGCTTGTCGCTCGCGGCGCGCCACGAGATCTGATTGGAGTACTCCTCCTCCAGCGAGAGGGGTTCGGAGGCGGTGGCTTCTTGGATGTCCTGGAGAGTTGGGGGAGCGGGCGGGCGCACAGAGTAAGCGGGGTGGTAGATGCAACGGCAGAACCGTGGGGGGAGGGGGGGGAGATCAAAAAAGATAGAAGGCAAGGGGACTGGACTGGTGAGTGTTACCGGGTCTTGCATCCATCCATGGTATTTGAGCACATGATGAGGCTCGTACGGGACGAGGAGCACTCTGGGGGTGGATATGGCTGTGTCGATCTCGCGAGTGAGCAGGTGCCGTGCATGTAGGATGGATGGAGGAGGCGCTTGGCAGGCTCAAGGTAGCTGCAGTTGCAAGGGGACGGGTGCGAGGATCGTCGCTCACCGGTATTTGAATTGAGCCTCATGGTGGTCTCTCACGCGCGGCGGGCGGGCGCTGCTGCGGTTCCTATCTGCAGTGTGGTGTGTGTCTTGTCGTGAGCCGTCTTGGGTTTGGGAGAAGAGACGGGCCAGGCTTTATTGCTCGAGCTTGACAGATGAAGCATTGGACTGGGCTGGATGAGTGAGTGAGTGAGTACCTGCTTCTGCTCACCTACATACGAACTGGGTTGGCGCATAATTTGGCTCGATACCTCTGCCAAACATATACACTTTTGCCCTGATCCAGCACATCTTGCATGCCATTCCGCAGTGAGCCAGTGCACAAATTAAGTCTCGCGTGGTGCAGCCACTGCCGGGCAAATCCAAACGGGGAGTGAAAATCTGTCTTCTGCAGGTGCTTGCTATCCATATTGCCATAGATTCATCCGTCTCTTCATACATTTATATTACATGCCAGGTGCAGTGTTGTACATGATTCGTATCTTACAGGCCCGTGTCTCACATGTCGGGGGGGAACTACTGCATATTCGTCGGCTTTTTCTTTCGTGACAGCAGCAAATCTCTGACACCCGCTTCGCCCAGCCGCGCCTCCATGGCGATCCACTCGCCCATCTTGTTCAACCTGTTCTTCGTTGGATTCTCCACGATGCCCCCGAGGATTTCCAGCACCTCGGGATCTGAGTATGTGGCCGCCGGCGTAGGTGGAAAGATTGTATTCCACGACTGGACCTTCTCCATGACCCTGGGATCTGTCGGCGAGATTCCGTAGCTGTCATCCGTACCCCGCACTGCCCACTGAATTGTTCGTCGTTCAGGTCTGACATTGAGCTCATCCAGTAGCCTTCCGGCCTTGGTGGGCATGATGGGCTGTAAGAGGATCCCCGCTATGCGAAGCGCCTCGGTGGAATTGAATACTACCCGGTTGAGGACAAAGCGGAACCCCGGGATGTGTGTCTTCTTCGCGATGCTCCAGGGCTCTATATCAGAAACGTAGCGATTGGTCTGCGAGAACTAGATGTTAGCGGAAGTCAACTGGGCCAGCCGCTTATGGGGGCCAAAGTCTAACGAGCACGAACCTCTCGAAGCAGGCTGAATATCTCGTTGATAGCACCGGCCGGGTTGTTATTGTCCATTTCTCTCTTGTAAATATCGAGTACACCGTCAATATGCGGCTCCAGCGATGAATAATTATAGCGCGGATCTGACAGATCAACCATGTGCTCGATCTGTTTGAAGTCGCCCGCGAAGTAGCTTTCGATAGCGTCCCTGGTTGACCATCTGGACGAGCTCTTAGGCCGGCAAATTCTGTAGTATAAATTTCCAATATTTGCCTGCAGTTCCTTAAGGTAAATCATCTCAATGAGATCGTTGGAGTAACTCGTGTCCTTGCTGAGGGATCCATTGCGCATAAGAAAGTATCGCAGAGGATCCGTACCCCAGCGCTGGATGGCAAAGAATGGATTCACCACGTTTCCAACAGATTTTGACATCTTACGGTTCGACATGGTCCAGTGGTTATGGCAGAGAATCTTCTTGGGCAAAGGAAGGTCGAGTGCCATGAGAAGAGCTGGCCAGTATATTGCGTGGAAGCGGATGATGTCCTTTCCAACAACCTGCAGATCGGCTGGCCAGATCCCCATGTTCTCCTCCTTCAGATGCCACTTATCTCCATAACCAGCAACTGTCAAGTAATTGATCAACGCATCCACCCACACATAAATCGTGTGCTTTGGATCTTCAGGGTCGCTGATTCCCCAGCTTAGTCTGGCAGCAGGTCGTGTGACTGAGAGATCCTCCAGGTGGTTCTCGACCCAGTTCCTAACCTCCCTCATCTTGCTCTCCGGCTGGATCCAGCCTGGATTTTCGTCATAGAGCTTTAACAATTGCTCTTTGTACTTGGTGAGAGGGAAGAACCATGTCTCCTCCTCGACCCACTCCACCATACTCCCAGTCTCAGAGCTCACCATGATTTTCTTTCCCGTCTGGGGCTCGAGTGAGGCCTCGATCAAGTCCTCGGGATAGAAACACTCATCACTGACGCTATACCAACCCTTGTGAGTACTCTTGTAAAGACCCAATCGCTTCGGTAGACCATTCTTCAGCTGCGTCCAGAAGTGGCTGACTGCCCTCTTGTGTTGCTGGTTGGTCGTGCGTATAAAGGTGTCTTGCGATATGCCGCCTTCGTGGGCCAGCCTGAGGAATTTTTGCGAGTTGTTGTCGACAAGCTCCTTCGGTGTCACTGCTTCCTTTGCGGCTGCTTGTTGTATTTTCATTCCGTGCTCGTCGGTGCCGGTGCTGAGAAAGGCACTCTTGCCCTGGAGTTGCTGATAACGTTTGAGGACATCGCATAGGACCATGGTGTAGAGATGGCCAATGTGGGGTGCTTTAAGACAATATAAGCCGATGAATACATTGCTGATGCTACTTTATTTAGGCCATACCAGCATTGACATAGAAAATTGGAGTTGTAATATAATATGGCTTCTCAGTGTCCGCGGAGGGTTGTGACTCAGTCGCTGTATAGATCGGTCGACATTGCCATGCTCTCCGAATTGGCGATCTGGAGGCGAATTTCTGGTAGGAGGCTGGAGAGTTGGGGGGTCTAAGCCCCCGAAGGCTTCGCAGCACCGAGGAAACCATTTGCGGTCACTAAAGGAATGAGTTCTCGAGGCTTCGGTTTCTGATGCCATGAAGCTGATCGTGATGGGCCCGGTCGGGAAAATGCGACCTGCGATAAGATACAGTGTGAATTGAGTCGCACGATAACTGTACACCCTTCGTCATAGGTGCCTGGAATAAATTAGTTTGTCGCAAACTACCAGGACACTCGATATCCTTTATTGCAGCACGCAACAGCCAATTAGCCGTGTAGCGACGACCTCGCAACACGACGGCTACTTTCCAACATGCCTCTCCCAGACAGTGAAAAAGAGGTACAGGCCTCGAGCGAAGGTAGGATCCAGCTTCCAGCTTCGCGATCCTCGACCCTCAATCGCGCAGTACTAATATAGCGACACAGCCGCCGAGATCTTTGTTAACCATTATTACGATGCGCTCAACCGTCGCCAACCGCTGCTTCCCTTCTATGTCAATTCGACCACCCGATACGACATCCCAGCTGATATATCCATCAACGGGTCCCAAGTAGCAACACCTGCCGACTACTACAACCTCCTCGAGGCACAAGGCACAGGCGTCCACTACGATGTCGAGTCGTTCGACACCCACGTCCTCAACCCCTCCTTTCAATACAACGCCCCCGAGAATATCTACGACGCCAACAAAGCCGAAAAGAGTGGTGCCCGCATGAGTATCATCGTGACCGTGATGGGTAGAGTCCAGTACGGAAAGGGAAAGGAAGCGCCACAAAAGATGTTCAACGAGACCTTTGTCCTCGTTCCGAATTGGGAGGCCTTGCAGCGAAATCCCCCTAGGGGCATCAGGCGCTGGCTTATCATGTCCCAAAACTTCAGAGCCTTATAAACATAGCAACACATCACGAAAGTGAAGGAGGAAGGGCATATGTTTGAGGGCCAGGAGCTGCTTGAGCACAAGACAAGCCCGCATACTTGGAGCACTGGGAGTCAAAATTTCAAAATACTCGAAATTTGGGGGTATTAGGTAAAGGGAAGGGATGTCAGCCATCGAGGCAGACGATAGCCTAGGCTGCAGCAGTGGTAGGGCGACTAGCTTGAATCAAAGCTTCCACATCAACTACCTACATAGTTAGATAGATAGATTTCCTGCGACAAAGAATGAAAAGACAATACTAAGCGAGGGTTTGGATGGCACGGTCTTGATTGAGGAACAATATAACTACCTAGCAAACATTCTCCCTGTAATACTATTCTCCTCGCCACTAAACGGAACTATCCATGGTTTGCAAGAACAATATCTCTTCTGGACGATCATGGCGGGGCAACTCCAGGCCACGGACCCATCTGCCATGCACCAACCCAACACAAGTCTAGCACTGGTCTAGCTCCCCGCCATTGACACCAGTTGCTCACACTCCGAATTGAGGTCCCCTCTTCCCTAGGTAGGGAACTAGGACAACCTCGCATCTGCCCACCAAGAGTAGAATGGCACCCAAGTCAAAAGCCAGCTCCAAGGCGGCCCCCATCCCAGAGTCAAAAGGTCAGACCCCAATGCTCCACCTCGTGCTCGCAAGCCAGCCGTAAACAGTCGAGCAACAGCAACGCACAGCAAAGGCTCTGCTTTCTCACCTTCTTCACTTCCCATTATCGCTGACATTTTGCCAATCCCGCCTTGCAGCCGAGCCACCCCCCGAGACCGTCGGCGAGCGTTCCACCCAGCGCTTCTACAAGACCAATACCCTCCAGAAGCGCTGCGAAGAAGCAGGCCTGGCCGCCCTGACGCCCGCGGAGAAAAAGACCTACAGCCACGCGAAGCTCATCATCCCCGTCTCCCAGGACCGGGTACCGCTCTCCACCAAGGCCGAACGCGAGTACTGGAAGCAGGTTTCAAAGGAGAACCTCCCCATCCGCCGCCTACGCCGAAACTACGACTGGGGCCAGGACAAACAGGGCCGCCAGCTCGACACCTACAAGCTTGCCGAGTTCCAGGAGCGGAGCTTGAAGCAGGCCCGCCTCGCAGCGCTCGACATCGTGCACCGCCGGTTCCTCGCCAAGAGAGACAAGGCGCGCAAGGAGGGTTCCGAGCTCCCAGCAGAGGAAGTCGAGGAAGAAAAGAAGACGAGGGCAGCCATGGCGGTTCTACGGAAGGAACTGTATGGGAAGATCACCGGCCCGCTCGCCCAGGACCCGAAGTGGGATGATGTGGTGCCGATTCCTCAGGCTGAGCCCGAAGATGCTCTGGCTCGTATCGCCTACCCAGATGACTATGCCGAGGGTGCGTAACATTTTATTCAAATTAATCTTGTTTTACCCTCTACTTCCGTGTGTCTGCGATATCCTGTGATTCGGAGGAGCTAACGTGTATTCACAGCTGTATCCTACCTTCGTGCTGTCATGGCTACTGAGGAGCTATCCGAGCGGTGCCTTCGTCTAACACAGCTGGTTATTAACATGAACCCAGCCCACTACACCGTTTGGCTGTACCGCTTCAGGATCGTCAAGGCTCTCGAGCTGCCCATCCTTGATGAGATAGAGTGGCTCAACAGGGTGGCTCTGCAGAACCTCAAGAACTACCAGATCTGGCACCACCGCCAGCTCCTCCTCGACTACTACCTCCCCTCCATCTCGTCGGACCCGGTGTCCGTCAAGAAGCTCGCCAAGTCGGAGACGGACTTCATCTCCCGCATCCTCGAGGAGGACACCAAGAACTACCACGTCTGGTCCTACCGCCAGTACCTCGTGGGCAAGCTCGAGCTCTGGACGCCCGCCGAGCTCGGCGCCGCGCAGAACATGATCGAGGACGACGTCCGCAACAACTCGGCGTGGTCCCACCGCTTCTTCGTCGTCTTCTCCAACCCCAGGGAGGCCACCCCGGGCTCGCTGCCCACGGCCACGGACCCCAAGGTGTCCGCCGCCACGATCGACCGCGAGCTCGCCTACGCCAAGGAGAAGATCGGCATTGCGCCGCAGAACCAGTCCAGCTGGAACTATCTCCGCGGGGTTCTGGTCAAGAGCGGACGAGACTTTGCCACACTGGCCGAGTTCACCGAGCAGTTCGTGTCTGGGCTGGGCGAGGAGAGCGAGGACGTGAAGAGCTCGCACGCCCTCGATCTGCTGGCTGAGATATACAAGGCCAAGGGAGATAAGGAGAAGGCCAAGCTCTGCCTGGAGCGGCTGGCAGCGAAGTGGGATCCGGTGCGCGAGGGGTATTGGAAATACCAGATAGCGGAGCTCGAGAAGTAGATCCAGGCTACTAAGCATTAACTCCTAGATCTGATAGCATAAAAAAAAAACTCTTAGTCAATTAGGCACCGCAAGGTGAATATGTCTACATAGGTAATTAATGTGGATTACTGTATAGCCCGGCCGATTTATCGCCCTTTTTCCCAACCATCCCGTCCCGTCATCATCGTCATAAGGTAATCAGCCACACCTTCTCGCTATCCTCACAACTCCTCACTTGGCACCAGTTGTACATTTGACCAGTTTGGACAACGGTGTCGTTGCTGTTTTGCTTTCTTGATTATTAGGGGTGCTTGTTTTTTTTCTTTCTTTCCTTTTTCTGTCTCAGTAGTTTGTCGCTATATGCGACTCTCTACGCGCCAGAACTTCCAGCCCTCACGCTCGCCACCATGGCCGTGCACGCCGACCAGCCGCTCCACCCCCTCGGTGCCCTCGGCATTGAGGAACTTCTCTAGGTCGATCTCCATGCCGCCCTGCTCGTCCTCCTCGGTGCCGTTCTTGAGGACGGCGGGCCAGAGCACGCCCACGCCGTCGCCGCCCAGCGTGGTCTCGAACTTTTGGTAGTTCTCCTCCTCGAGCTGGGCCTCGAGCTTGCTGAGCCGCTCGCTCGGCAGCTCCGGCCGCAGGAGCGTAATCGAGCAGCCACCACCGCCAGCGCCGGTCAGCTTGGTCCACCCTATGCCCTCGTGGTCGACAAGCTCGCGGATCCGCTCCAGCCTGGGGTGGGACACGCCGAGCGACACCAGGAGCCCGTGGTTGATGGTCATGAGCTCGCCCACGCGCCTCAGGTCCTCCTCGTCGGTGGCGTCGAAGTCGTCCTCCTCGATCAGGTCGGCGACGGTCGTCGTCACCTTGCCCATGGCGTCGAGGATGGAGCCGACGAGGTCCGGGTGGGTCTTGTTGAGGGTGCCGACCTTGGCGACCTCGAAGGCCGTCGACTTGGCCTGCTTGGTGTCGACCAGCAGGAGGGGCAGCTCGGGGAAGTCCCAGAGGGGGCGGACGGAGGGGGGCTTGTCGTAGTCTGTGCGCTGGAAGAAGACGGCCTTACCCTGGGTCGCGACGGTGTTGTCGATGCCGGAGGGGTTGCCGTGGATGCACATCTCGGACACGAAGGCCCAGCGGTTGATGCGCTCGACCTGGAGGCGCGCCTCCTCGGACGGCTGGTCGGGGTGCGGGCCGGCCAGGGTCCTGACCTGGAGCAGGAGGGCGGCGGAGAGGCAGACGGATATGGACGCGCTGCTGCCCAGGCCAGCGCCAATCGGGATCGTCGATCGGAGTGTGTAGAGGCATGCCGGGAAGGACTTGGATCCGAGGGAGAGGAAGAGGTAGAGGAAGGCGGAGGCGGAGCGTTCGTGGACTTTTCGGAGTTCTTCAGGGCTGTCGGGGGACACGACGGAGATGTGTGGTTCTAGGGCATCCACGAGGTCGGGGTCGAGCTCGGTGACAAGATCGTAGTAGGACTTCTTCTTGCCGGGTTTCTGGAACATGGCCCATGGCAGGTCGTCAATGTTCCACGTGTGGACGAAGCCAATGTCAGGGAATCGCAGAGTGATTGTTCGCTTCGACTTGGACAAGGTGGTGACGTGAAGGTAGGAGCGTAGAGAGATGGCCGCCGCGATTGCTGCCTGATTCACAATGGACGTCCGTGTTAGCCAGAGAGCATCGCGGGGGAGAATTCGAGATGGACAGTGGCCGTACGTACCCTGCCATAGACCACGGAGTGTTCTCCAAAGACAATGACCTTGCCCGGGGCTGACACCATGAAGGCCGGAGCCATAGGGTTGGAGTCCTTACGGTCCG